CAGACTTTTGTTATATTTTCTGTTGTTAATTTAAAGTAGTGATTTCAGTCGAGACTTTAACTGTAGATTAAAAATTGATTAAATTAATCTACGCTCGTTTGTTTTGATTTGGAGGCGGACGTGACATGCCGATTTACGTTTAATTTCGCACAGCATTGTGGGTAAAACACAATTCATTTCCTGAAAGCACGCATCCGATCCATACTGCATGAAACCGGAAGTTAGTATCCATACTGAAATGTTCAGTATACTGAGGTGGACCCAATAAATGCATAATGAATGACCACGAGGGTTCAGTCTACTGAAACTCCTACTGAAAAGTACTGCCGACTGAACTGTGACTATTCGGAAAGGGCCATTAAAACTCTGTAAACCCTGGGGTCTGTCTGTCAGGTGAGTGTGCAGGTGTACCTGTGGGCTGCGTCTCTGCAGCAGCTGCAGCTCTCGGTGATAAAGACTTGCAGCAAACGGAAACACGTCAGGTAGCTGAAGGTCAGAGGTCATCAGACAGCTTACTGTGTGTCGGGGGTCATTGCCACGTAGAGATGTATTCACACACTGCTCCGCTGCATGCACTGAAACACACACACATTGTGAATGTGAATTAAACTTGTACTCTCTCTTACGCTCTGCAGGGGGAGACGGTTGTTTGTAACACAAACTACAAACTGGGACAGGAAAGAAACGTACTGTTTCTGGCTCTCGTGGCGTCCTGGTTGGCGGTGGTCACTCCTTCCTGCAGCTCGTCAGGCTCCAGAGGATCCACAGAGCCCTGATCCTACAAACACCACACAAAGTACTAATAACTCTACTAACAACAACAATGCAGCCTCATTCCCACTTATGTTACTGTGGATCTGTTTATATACGGATGATGCCTCCTAGTGTCCAACACATGGAAGTGCATGTCTTTACAGACGATAGAAAGCTGAAGCTGTTGGGGAGGGGCTAAATCTGTCTGAATTAACAAACTGATAAAGAGAATGACTGTGTTTTATATCAAACTGATAAAGAATGTTAATTGAGTATAACCATATTTTATCAGATTACTCAGATTTGCAAAGAGTTAAAACCGGATGAACAAGTTATTTATAATCACAAACAACATCAGCGTCTGAATCAAAGGAGATAGCCTTTTAGCTCGTTAGCTGCCTGTTAGCTGAGCTAGCATACAGGCAAAAGTTTAATTTCACTCGAGGTATTCAGGACTGAAATATAACAGGGGGGAGGAGCTTCACAGATTATCACAAAGATTAACATGAACCTGTTTCATACACATTCATGAGCGGAAACAAGGCGTGATAAATTGTGTGTACCCGAGCCTTCTGCTGGCGGTCTGCAAACAGCTGATCCAGGTACCAGGGCCCGTTGTCAGTACGGAGGCCCCTGAGGAACAAACATGGCAGCTGCAGAGCGGCGAGCAGAGCGAGTTCATCCGAAGAATCCAAAGCTTCATCCACGTGCTCCACTGCTGAGCGAACTAAAAATATAAATTATAATAATCTGAATTATCTGACTGAAAGTAAAGTTCAGATTTTAGAGCTTTATGATAACTCACTGTTCACTATGTCGATATTCTTCTGGATCTCCTTCTGAGTCAGAAACTCCTCGTAGATATCCTTCTCCTCTGAACCTCCGCCCTGTCACACACACACACACACACACACACACTGTGAGCTGTACTATAGTGACTCTGCCTTCTGATTGGTCCATCATTCGTGTGTCTCTCACCCTGCGGGCTGCCTGCTCCTCTTTTCTTCTTCTGGCCTGATGCAGCATCTCCTGGTAGACGCTCATCAGCGCCTCCTGCAGGTCAGTGAGGAGTGCGTTAGGGTTCTTCAGAGCCTCTACCGTCACCTCCACACGCCCACTGTCCACCGCCTCGTTAATGGCTATCACCGCCGCATGGACTGATGGGGAAAAACAGACCAGGTCACTGACTTGTCCAGTTTGCTCCTCTCTCTCTCTCTCTCTCTCTTTCTGCTTGTATCAGCTGTTGTGTCTGTACCTGCAGCCTCGTCCACTGACAGCTCATTGGCCAGAATTCCTCCAATCTTGTTGAACGCCGGCATCTGGATCCCGTATTTATCCAACTCCATCTTCATGTTGTTGATCTCCTCCTCTGAACATCAAACACACACAAGTCTATATGTTGTTATCATGGAAACATGTTGTCATGGAAACATGTTGTCATGGAAACATGTTGTTTCAGGTATTCATCAGCACATTCTTTATATTCACCTGTGAATTTGACTTTTCCAAACAAGTCCTGAATCTGTGGAGCCAAACCCCGTCTGTACAGAAACAGACTGCAGAGAGACAGACAGGTTACTGACAGACAGGTTACAGACACAGAGAGACAGATTGCAGACAGACAGGTTACAGACAGACAGGTTACTGACAGACAGGTTACAGACAGACAGGTTACAGACACAGAGAGACAGATTGCAGACAGACAGGTTACAGACAGACAGGTTACTGACAGACAGGTTACAGACAGACAGGTTACAGACACAGAGAGACAGATTGCAGACAGACAGGTTACAGACAGACAGGTTACTGACAGACAGGTTACTGACAGACAGACAAAGAGACAGGTTACTGACAGACAGGTTACTGACAGACAGGTTACAGACAGACAAAGAGACAGGTTACTGACAGACAGGTTACTGACAGACAGGTTACTGACAGACAGATTGCAGACAGACAGGTTACAGACAGACAGGTTACTGACAGACAGGTTACTGACAGACAGGTTACTGACAGACAGGTTACAGACAGACAAAGAGACAGGTTACTGACAGACAGGTTACTGACAGACAGGTTACTGACAGACAGGTTACTGACAGACAGATTGCAGACAGACAGGTTACAGACAGACAGGTTACTGACAGACAGGTTACAGACAGACAGGTTACAGACAGACAGGTTACAGACAGACAGACAGACAGGTTACAGACAGACAGATTGCAGACAGACAGACAGGTTACAGACAGACAGAGAGACAGGTTACAGACAGATTGCAGACAGACAGACAGGTTACAGACAGACAGAGAGACAGGTTGCAGACAGACAGGTTACAGACAGAGAGAGACAGACAGACAGGTTACAGACAGACAGATTGCAGACAGACAGGTTACAGACAGACAGAGATACAGGTTACAGACAGACAGACAGGTTACAGACAGACAGGATGCAGACAGACAGGTTACAGACAGACAGGATGCAGACAGACAGGTTACAGACAGACAGAGAGACAGGTTGCAGACAGACAGACAGACAGACACACAGGTTACAGACAGACAGGTTGCAGACAGACAGACAGACAGACAGACAGACAGACAGACAGACAGACACAGGTTACAGACAGACAGGTTGCAGACAGACAGGTTACAGACCTGAGAGCGTGGATGCAGTAAACAGCTCGTGGCATGTTCTTCTTGTCGTAAACGTCTGTAGTTTCAGGATGGAAGATCTGAGGAGACCAATACAATCATGAAGACCAATCAGCTTACAGATACATCCACCAGCCGACCAATCAGCTTACAGATACATCCACCAGCTGACCAATCAATCAGCTTACAGATACATCCACCAGCTGACCAATCAGCTTACATATACATCCACCAGCTGACCAATCAGCTTACAGATACATCCACCAGCCAATCACTGACCGTTGGCAGTCCGAGAGATGTCAAAGCGTTCCTCCAGTGGTTGATGTTGTCAGTATGGCGAAACTGAAGCCCCACGGCCTGTGACACACACACACACACACACACACACACACACACACACACACACACACACACACACACACACACACACACACACACACACACACACACACACACACACACACACACACACACACACACACACACACACACACACACACACACACACACACACACACACACACACACACACACACACACACACACACACACACACACACACACACACACACACACACAGTCATATAAACTGCTACACTCTGACTAACTGCACAGTTGGGTTTCTCAAGCTCCTCCCTCTTTTTTGTGGATTTACAGGTGTGTGTGTCATTGTGTAAATAGTGTTTGTGTTACGTTGTAGCGCAGCTGCTCGGGGTCATAGATCTTCTTCACACTGACGGCGTTCGGTGCGAATCGATGACCCAGTTTGGCGAGGATAACTCCATTCCTCAGCGCCTCCTCCATCTCAGTGGGAGCAGGTAGCTCCTCCCCCAGACATGCCTCCATCCACCTGAGGAGGAGAGACAAACAGTGATGTCACCAAGCTGTTTGAGGAAACAGGAAGTGATGAAAAATGTGATGATGTCCGATACTACCACTCAGTCATTTCCAGGTGAGTACATTACATATGATGTCATACCCAGGTGAGTACATTACATATGACGTCATATCCAGGTGAGTACATTACTCATGACGTCATATCCAGGTGAGTACATTACATATGATGTCATACCCAGGTGAGTACATTACATATGACGTCATATCCAGGTGAGTACATTACTCATGACGTCATATCCAGGTGAGTACATTACATATGACATCATACCCAGGTGAGTACATTATATATGATGTTATATCCAGGTGAGTACATTACATGTGATGTCATACCCAGGTGAGTACATTATATATGATGTTATATCCAGGTGAGGACATTACTCATGACGTCATATCCAGGTGAGTACATTACATATGATGTCATATCCAGGTGAGTACATTACTCATGACGTCATATCCAGGTGAGTACATTAGATATGATGTCATATCCAGGTGAGTACATTATATATGATGTTATATCCAGGTGAGTACATTACATGTGATGTCATACCCAGGTGAGTACATTATATATGATGTTATATCCAGGTGAGGACATTACATGTGATGTCATACCCAGGTGAGTACATTATATATGATGTTATATCCAGGTGAGGACATTACATGTGATGTCATACCCAGGTGAGTACATTACATATGATGTCATATCCAGGTGAGTACATTAGATATGATGTCATATCCAGGTGAGTACATTACTCATGACGTCATATCCAGGTGAGTACATTACTCATGATGTCATATCCAGGTGAGTACATTATATATGATGTCATATCCAGGTGAGTACATTACATATGACCAGGTGAGTACATTACATATGATGTCATATCCAGGTGAGTACATTATATATGATGTCATATCCAGGTGAGTACATTACATATGACCAGGTGAGTACATTACATATGACCAGGTGAGTACATTACATATGATGTAATTTCCAGGTGAGTACATTACATATGATGTCATATCCAGGTGAGTACATTACATATGATGTCATTTCCAAGTGAGTACATTACATATGACCAGGTGAGTACATTACATATGACCAGGTGAGTACATTACATATGATGTCATATCCAGGTGAGTACATTACATATGATGTCATTTCCAGGTGAGTACATTACATATGATGTCATATCCAGGTGAGTACATTACATATGATGTCATTTCCAGGTGAGTACATTACATATGACCAGGTGAGTACATTACATATGATGTCATATCCAGGTGAGTACATTACATATGACCAGGTGAGTACATTACATATGATGTCATTTCCAGGTGAGTACATTACATATGATGTCATATCCAGGTGAGTACATTACATATGATGTCATATCCAGGTGAGTACATTACATATGACCAGGTGAGTACATTACATATGACCAGGTGAGTACATTACATATGATGTCATATCCAGGTGAGTACATTACATATGACCAGGTGAGTACATTACATATGACCAGGTGAGTAGCTCTATCCAGGTTAAATGATATCTTGATCTCTCTTTATGCTACAGTCTGAGAATGACGTCACTCACCTCTTAGCCTCCTCCAACCTGCACAGGTACTGATACGCCTCGCTCTGAATCCTCTGCTCGTCCATCTGCTCTGCGGTCAGACGCTCATCTGACACACACACACACACACACACACACACACACACTTTAACAAAGCTTTGCTGAAGCTTTGAGACACTTCACCTGTTCCATGAGGTGTGTGTGACGTCATAGTCTGCTGATTATATTAACAAAGCTTGGTGCACAGACTCTGTCATTACTGGGAGACACTGCTCAGCTAACATTGAGTTTCTCATGGTTAAATGTAGACCTTTCTATCAGCCAAGGGAGCTCAGCTCCACTATTGTAACTGCAGCCTACATCCCCCCTGATGCCGATGCTAAAGCTGCTATGAAGGAACTTTACATCGCTATCAGTAAACAACAGACTGCTCACCCGGAGGCTGCATTTATAGTTGCAGGTGATTTTAATCACTCAAACTTAAAGACAGTGCTCCCTAAATTTCACCAGCATGTTTCCTGCAATACAAGAGGAAACAAAACTCTGGACTATGTTTACACAAACATCGCAGGGGCCTACACCACGACCCCCCTCCCCCACCTGGGACAGTCAGACCACCTTTCTTTGTTCCTCATCCCCAAGTACTCCCCACTCATCCAACGTGTGAAGCCATCAGTAACAACGATTAAAGTGTGGCCAGCGGGGACAGACTCTGTACTTCAGGACAAGTTCCATCACACAGACTGGAGTATGTTTGCTTCTCAGGCTACCTTGGGCTCTCACACAGACATTGACACCTACACTTCTTCTGTGCTGGATTATATCAACACCACCATCGACAGTGTTACAACATGGAAGCAGATCACCACGTACCCAAATCAGAAGCCATGGATGAACAAGGAGGTGCGTCTCCTGCTGAAGGCCCGCAACACCGCCTTCAGATCAGATGATGCAATGGCCTACAGCGTATCCAGGGCAAACCTGAGGAGGGGCATCATCAAGGCCAAGCACTGCTACAAGCTGAAGGTTGAGGAACACTTCTCCAACTCCGACCCCAGACGCATGTGGCAGGGCATCCAGGCCATCAGTGACTATAAACCCAGAAACTCCACCCCGATAACCACAGATGTCTCCTTCCTGAACGAGCTAAATCACTTTTATGCTCGTTTCGATAGAGACAACAGAGAGACACAGACCACGACCAGACCTCCTGCAGACAACCAGCCCCTCTCACTCACCTCCACAGACGTCCACGCTGCACTGAGCCGGATCAACGCTCGAAAGGCTGCTGGTCCAGACGGCACCCCCGGGCGCGTGCTTAGGCATGTGCGGAGCAGCTCACTGGGGTTTTTACGGACATCTTCAACCTGTCCCTCGCCCAAGCAGCTGTGCCAGCATGCTTCAAAGCCACCTCCATTGTCCCAGTGCCGAAACACTCCAGCCCGACAGGCCTGAACGACTACCGCCTTGTGGCACTCACACCCATCATAATGAAGTGCTTTGAGCGACTGGTCCTAGCACACCTGAAAAACTGCCTCCCACCCACACTGGACCCATTCCAGTTTGCCTACCGCAGCAACAGGAGTACAGAGGATGCAGTTTCCACTGCGCTGCACTCTGTGCTCACTCATCTGGACAATAACAACACATACGCACGAATGCTGTTTGTTGATTTTAGCTCAGCATTCAACTCTGTCATCCCCTCCAAGTTAAACACTAAACTCGGAGACCTGGGCTTCAACACCTCCCTCCGTCACTGGATAATGGACTTTCTGACCAACAGACCCCAGTATGTTAGGTCAGGACACACCTGCTCCACCACCATCACACTCAACACAGGCGTACCACAGGGCTGTGTGCTGAGCCCATTCCTCTACTCCCTCTTCACCCACGACTGCAAACCTGTACATGGATCCAACACCATCATCAAGTTTGCGGACGATACAGCGGTGATTGGCCTCATCAGCAACAACGATGACACAGCCTACAGGGAGGAGGTACAGCATCTGGCCGCCTGGTGTGCTGACAACAACCTGCTCCTCAACACCAGCAAGACGAAGGAGCTCATCGTGGACTTCAGGAGAGAAAGAGAAAGCACGCACAACCCCATTCACATCAACGGGATGGCTGTTGAACGTGTCTCCAGCTTCAAGTTCCTGGGGACCCACATCACAGAGGACCTCTCCTGGTCCACTAACACCTCCAGTCTGGTTAAGAAGGCTCATCAACGCCTCTTTTTCCTGAGGACACTGAAGAGACACCACCTGTCTTCAGCTGTACTGATGAACTTCTACCGCTGTGTGATCGAGAGCATCCTGACCAGCAGTGTCTCAGTCTGGTACGGAAACTGCTCTGTCGCAGACCGTAAGGCGCTACAGCGGGTGGTAAAAACCGCCCAGCGCATCACAAGGTGTCCACTTCCTGCCATTGAGGATGTCCAAAGAAAACGCTGTCTGCGGCGAGCTCATGGCATCCTTAAAGACTCCTCCCACCCTGCCCACAGACTGTTTACCCTCCTGCCCTCCGGCAGGCGCTTCAGAAGCCTCCGGACCAGAACCAGCAGACTGAGGAACAGCTTTTTCCCCAGAGCTGTTTCTCTACTGAACTCTACCCCCGAACTCTGAACTCTGTCTCTCTCTCTCTCTCTCTCTCCGCCCCCTGCTGACCCCCCTTCCCCTGCATATCACCTCACACCCATCATCCCCCCACCACTCCTCCTGGTCACACACACACATCTCTCATCCATCTGTATTATTGTATTATAGTATGTTCATATTATGTCCATATTCTTTATATTATCTGTAAACTAGTATAGCATGCTCACTGCATCTTAATCTGTATATTATTAGTATAGCATGCTCACTGCATCTTAATCTGTATATTATTAGTATAGCATGCTCACTGCATCTTAATCTGTATATTATTAGTATAACATGCTCACTGCATCTTAATCTGTATATTATTAGTATAGCATGCTCACTGCATCTTAATCTGTATATTATTAGTATAACATGCTCACTGCACCTTAATCTGTATATTATTAGTATAACATGCTCACTGCATCTTGATCTGTATATTATTAGTATAACATGCTCACTGCATCTTAATCTGTATATTATTAGTATAGCATGCTCACTGCATCTTAATCTGTATATTATTAGTATAGCATGCTCACTGCATCTTAATCTGTATATTATTAGTATAGCATGCTCACTGCATCTTAATCTGTATATTATTAGTATAGCATGCTCACTGCATCTTAATCTGTATATTATTAGTATAGCATGCTCACTGCATCTTAATCTGTATATTATTAGTATAACATGCTCACTGCATCTTAATCTGTATATTATTAGTATAACATGCTCACTGCATCTTAATCTGTATATTATTAGTATAGCATGCTCACTGCATCTTAATCTGTATATTATTAGTATAACATGCTCACTGCATCTTAATCTGTATATTATTAGTATAGCATGCTCACTGCATCTTAATCTGTATATTATTAGTATAGCATGCTCACTGCATCTTAATCTGTATATTATTAGTATAGATGCTCACTGCATCTTAATCTGTATATTATTAGTATAACATGCTCACTGCACCTTAATCTGTATATTATTAGTATAACATGCTCACTGCATCTTAATCTGTATATTATTAGTATAACATGCTCACTGCATCTTAATCTGTATATTATTAGTATAGCATGCTCACTGCATCTTAATCTGTATATTATTAGTATAACATGCTCACTGCATCTTAATCTGTATATTATTAGTATAACATGCTCACTGCACCTTAATCTGTATATTATTAGTATAGCATGCTCACTGCATCTTAATCTGTATATTATTAGTATAGCATGCTCACTGCATCTTAATCTGTATATTATTAGTATAGCATGCTCACTGCATCTTAATCTGTATATTATTAGTATAGATGCTCACTGCATCTTAATCTGTATATTATTAGTATAACATGCTCACTGCATCTTAATCTGTATATTATTAGTATAGCATGCTCACTGCATCTTAATCTGTATATTATTAGTATAACATGCTCACTGCATCTTAATCTGTATATTATTAGTATAGCATGCTCACTGCATCTTAATCTGTATATTATTAGTATAGCATGCTCACTGCATCTTAATCTGTATATTATTAGTATAGATGCTCACTGCATCTTAATCTGTATATTATTAGTATAACATGCTCACTGCACCTTAATCTGTATATTATTAGTATAACATGCTCACTGCATCTTAATCTGTATATTATTAGTATAACATGCTCACTGCATCTTAATCTGTATATTATTAGTATAGCATGCTCACTGCATCTTAATCTGTATATTATTAGTATAACATGCTCACTGCATCTTAATCTGTATATTATTAGTATAACATGCTCACTGCACCTTAATCTGTATATTATTAGTATAGCATGCTCACTGCATCTTAATCTGTATATTATTAGTATAGCATGCTCACTGCATCTTAATCTGTATATTATTAGTATAGCATGCTCACTGCATCTTAATCTGTATATTATTAGTATAGATGCTCACTGCATCTTAATCTGTATATTATTAGTATAGATGCTCACTGCATCTTAATCTGTATATTATAATCCTAAGAATACACTTATATTGTAGCATTGCTTATTTATAGTATTTATTTATATTTATAGCATCCCATTAATCCAGCCATCCAGATATACCTAATAATTCACTTTTTTAGTCTACATCTGTAAATTTTGTAATTACTCTACATAGCACAGACTCTTGCACTTTCTGCTTATTTGCACTTCTGGTGAGATGCCAAACCTCATTTCGTTACTCTATACTTGTATATGTGTAATGACAATAAAGTTGAATCTCATCTCATCTCATAAACAACAATAAATCAGTCATCATCAAACAGCTGATCTAAAGTCACTAACATCTTGAATAGTTTGTGACAGACAGTCCGCAGGTGAGCCCGGCAGGTAACAAACAAACACTCACCTGTAATTCTTCATCAAATGAAATACAAACAACACGAAGACAAAGTTAGTTTGACTCACAGCGACTCTGTCCTCCTGACTCCGCCATGTTGGCTCTTCCTCTTCTTCCCGCCACTGAATAAAAGTCGTTTAAATCCTCTCTGTCGGTGAAGATAAAAGCTTTTATAAAAGTGTTTAATGTCTAAAGTTTATATTCTCAGGATGAAAAACGTCTCAAACTTTTCCCGGCTTCAGGTTGAATCCTCCGCCGCTCCCTCGATCTGTTTCCGGTCTGAAGTTTGAAAGCTCCCGCCGCTCTCTGATTGGCTCAACTAACAGCTAATTCTCCCATTGGCTGGAACATTGCCGCATTGGATTGTGGTCTATGTATTTTGTGGCCGTTAACACAACTTTAGTCATCACCGTAGCTGTTTTTAAACATTAAATTCTAAAATAAGAAATAAGACGTCTCCTCTGCGGGTTTGATTTTCTGTTTTTAACTTCTTTTCTTTAAATGTTTTTGTATTTGTTTATATGTTGTCATGGAAACGTCCTGACCTACAGTGTACTCCACTGTCTGGTCATAGCAGGGGCTGCCTCATCAAACACGTCAGGTATTGAATCATCGACCGGCTCAGGATGAAGGATCAACACCTGCTCACAGTGAGTACCGTGAGCTAACACTGCTAAAGACTCGTTAGCATTAGAAGCTAACAAACAGTGAGGTGATGTAACTCTGTCACCTAGTGTTTAAAATGGGTACTGCAGTCCAAACTCAAAACATTGCAGAAACTTGAAGTGTGTGCGTCTTATTCATGATCTGTGAACATATTTAAGATTCATTAAAAAGGTAAACATTACATTTAAGCACTCAAACACGAACACTTATCAGAGAAAAACCAACTGAATTCACTTTGATGAAATTTAAATCAATTTTATTCTTCTGTTTGAGTTTTATTTCTTCTTATTAGATCATATTTTAAAGTGTTAAAGAAAAACTAAATGTCCAAATCACACTGATAATAATAATAATTATTATAATTATAACATAATATCCTAAAATAATGTATCATGAAATAAGATATAATATAAATAATAGTATCTAAATAATATAATTAAATAATAATGTAATGTAAAATAATAATATTTAATCATATAAAATAAATAATATAATGTAAAATAATATATATAATGTAATCATATAAAATAATATAAATGTTGACCAACTGATCTTCAGATTTGATTGAAACATGTTTTTCTGTTTCTTTCTGAGTGTAATTAGTGTAGTTCATGTGACGGCCATGTGCTGCTCTCTCCAGCAGAGGGCGCTGCTCGCACACTGGACACAGACAGGAGGAGTAGTTTATTCTGACATTCACCTTTTATAAATTAATACAAACAATCATTAAGTTATTTCATTAAAATCTTTTATTGACGTTTTTTAAGGTCAAATAATTCCATGGTGTTGCTTTGACTGGATTCATCAGGTGTTACATCAGACTCTGTCAGGTGATTCCTCCTCATCCAGCATGGCGTCCAATGATTCTCCTCCCAGTGAGAATGAGGAGAAGGTGAAGAGGAGGAAGGAGGTGAGGAGGAAGGAGGTGAGGAGGAAGGAGGTGAGGAAGAAGGAGGTTCAGGTGGAGGACATCGAGGAGTTAACGTCGGCCGGTCACAGAGCTCTGCAGGAGGGACGGAGCGCCGACGCCATGAGCTGCTTCAACACTGCGCTGCAGGCTGCACAACAGGTGAGGTCAGGGGTCAAGACAGGTGAGGTCAGGGGTCAAGACAGGTGAGGTTAGGGGTCAAGACAGGTGAGGTCAGGGGGTCAAGACAGGTGAGGTCAGGGGGTCAAGGCAGGTGAGGTCAGGGGGTCAGGCCATGTGCAGTAGTCTGAGTGCTTTGAATTTCCCATCATGCTCCTCTCCTCAGCTAGAGGGCAGGCGGGTCCAGCGGGCCTGTTCCTTTAACCTCGGAGCTGCCTATGTGGAGACCGGACAGCCACAGGAAGGTCTGGACTTCCTGCGGCAAGCTCAGCCCGGTCCAAGAGCCAACCGACTTCCAGACCTCCAGTTCAACCTGGGCTTGGCCCACAATGCACTGGGGCAGGACAAAGAGGCTGCCATCTACTTTCTGCAGGCGGCTCAGCTGTACAGGTCGCAGGGAGATGGACGCAGCGAGGGCGACGCCTGCATGGAGCTGAGCCGCTGCTACAGTCGAGTACAGGTCAGAACCAGAACTACAGTCAGAACCAGAGCTACAGTCAGAACCAGAGCTACAGTCAGAACCTGACTACAGTCTGAACCAGAGCTACAGTCAGAACTGAACTATTCAGAA